CTTGATTATAAAAGGAACAATTTTATTTCATTTTTTAATCAAAATTATTTAAAAAAATATTTTTCAAAAAATTTTTGTATAATGATTTCTATGTGATGTATATTAAGTATTTTTCTTGTAAAATTGGGAAAATCTTTCTTTTTTAGCAGTTTCCATTAAAAAATTGTAAGTTTAAGGATGATTTGGAATAGTTTAGAAGTGATAATTTAATGATTTTTTAATTAATTAAAATGTAGCTTTCTCAAATTAACTTTTATTAATTTATAGTTTATACACGCTACATATTTTTCATATTACATATAAATATTCCATACATAGTAAATTGTCAATATTCCAAATTTTCTGCGCCAGTGACCTTATGAACTTTTTAAAAATTTTGATTTGGTAGATCAGTGATTCCCGACGTGAGTGGTATCACACCCTAATGGGCTTTTAATTTTAATGGAGGCTTTTTACTTAAAAGGGCACTAAGGGGTGATTCTACTGTGACTTTTATTTTTATTGTTCATAATTTATTTCAATGAAATGTATAGGTAACTGCGTATAATCAAAAATAATTTAAGATTATGTACCATAAATAATATATATAAAACTATGTAAGTATGTATAAAATGTATACACACAAAAAGGATTTAGTATATAAAAATAAATATGATTCGTTAAGTTTTGTTTTTTACTTAAATTAAATTGCTGATTATAAAAATGCAACTATATTTTTTTTTATATTTATTGAGAGCGAGACAGTGTGAGATTTTTAAAATTTAAAAAAAGTGTTGAGGAAGAAAAGATTGGAAACATCGGTATAAATTTAAATGATGAATAGTTTCCGAGTTATTAAACTTTAATACTTTATAAACACCAATATAACACCATTAGGTCCACGATAATAGGCTTAGAGTAGATCTGGGATGTTGGTAAATAGCCCTCAATAACCATACTTGATTTTAGTAGAGTATGATCTGATATTATACGTAGGAATTAATATCATTTGTACTACGTGTATGCAGTGATCACGAGAGTGTCTAAATTTTGTCATGTGCGTGTAAATGGTTTTCGGACGAAGATAAACGTCTTGTCGTTTTCCTATAATTGGGGTAAATCGAACGTGGCGTATATGTGTAATATTATAAAATATTCCAAAATACCTAACGATATCAATTATATTTTATTTCAAATGGTGACTGTTTTTTTCGATGTCCAAACGTATATATTATTGCCACAATTCACAGCCGTTATTATATTTATGCTTATTCTGTCGCCCGCCTACTTGACTTTTCAATGATTTATTTTCGAGACCATATCTGTATTTATACGAGTTATACGCGAAACGACAACTATTTTTTAATCTTACGTATAAACGACGCGAGGCTAAATAATTTTAACTTTTCACAATTCATATGCGTTATATTATAATATATGGCGAGTTATCGGCTGGAATCTCTGAAAAGATTTTGTCGATCGATTTACTTGAATTCTACGATTAATTGTTTATGGTGGGATTTGTAAGTCGAAAAGAGGTGAAAAAATGCGAAACATTTACGTATAGAACATCTGGCGCATATTATATTTAATAGTTTGTTCGGTACATATAAATATTATTAAGCAAATCTTAATAATGCAACAGAGCGTATTTTATCTATACCTACCGACTTTTTTTTCGAGTACAATTTTTATTCGGCGATGTGTGTATAATAAATTGATTCAAATATTTTTTTGTCGTGTGGTTTATAATATATCGATGTTATAAAAAGATTTTAATTTGGACTAAATATAACATAAATTAAAATTTTTTTTTGTGTACATTACGTCAAAAATATAATAATTTATTCATACTAAAGGTAACAATTTTAATAATGTCATAAATTACAATTGTAATATGTAAACCGTACTACTTCCAGAAATATCAACTAATAAAATTGAATTGAAATTTAGTAATTAAGCTAACAGTTTTTGGTTGAATTTTAGTATCAACTTTTTAAACAAATAATAATATAATTTTTTAACAAACTTTTATTAAATATGCACTTAAGAATTTTTATTAGTCATCTTTACATTTTTAATTTAATTACTGATTTATTAATAGAAGACTTAAAGAGGAAGCTACACATATATGCACTATGCAGTATTTTTGTCTTACAAACATATGTTTACCAAATTTACATTTATCAGAATCAATCATTTGTTGTTTAGTTCTAATAATAGAATGAACTGACCTATTATCAAAGATAATGGTAAAAACATCTGTGCTTAAGCTTAGGTTTTTTTTCTATATTTTAATTTTTAAATTAGATATAAATATTTTTATTTTATAATATTTTAATACCTACTCACATATTTGCTTAAAAATTAAAATATCGAAAAAACCAAAACTTAAGCATGAATAATATTCTTACATTTAACTTTGAAAATAGGTCAGTCCACTCTTATATTAAATCTAAGCGTACACATAAACGTAAATTTTTTATGCTGCACATTTTGTTAGATGAAAACAACATTATATGAGTAATATCATCTTAAACAAATGTACAAATACAATAGGTATGTTAGGTCATATAAATTTAATAATAAATTAGTTTCCAGGTTAAAGTTATTACGTTAATAGAAATGTTTAAAAAATGGGTTCATTTTATTTTAATATCGGCAAAATTAACCATGGAAGTCCGCCTAACCCAATTTTTTAACCACGTCTTATATATGTAACGAAATAATTGATTTTAAAATATTATTAAGTGATTTCAAGCGTGGGTTTACCGAATCTATATATATAAATAAATATTATATTAGTGTACTGGTTCATAAAAAAAAAATTCAACACTTTTAACTTGAGTTTTGATTCCATACATTTATTAGTGCTGAACCTATTCCATTCAATCTATTTAACTGCATGAATGAGCTTATTAAGAAGTAAAATATAATCGCCTACGTCGCGTTAAACGTCGAAATGTTTATTTGATTTATAAACGTTTTATTTTAATTATAATTGAAGTAATAAATTGTCAAGTGCTCACGTGTGAAAAGTCTGAGAATACTATCAATTTATTTTAATATTTATTATATCATATTACGTATATATTATAAATGCCCTTTATAATTAATAATGATTTATACATTTCTGATATTATTTACGATTTTTATAATTAATTATTACCAACAGTAATAATAAAAATAATAATAACAATATTGTATACAAATCGATTTAGACGTTCATTCATTTGTTTCAATCACTACGAGTACAAGATATTTTATCATTACTGGTGGCTCTTTTCTGTGTGGGTCGCATACTTATTTTTTCCTTTTTAAGAAATTAAAAACCCGTTTTTTTTTTTTTTTTTTTGATTTTTGTCACTGGAGAATTTTAATGATATGTAGGTACCTACACAAAATAACAATAATAATAATTATTATAATATGGACGGTAAAACAGGACAGCTACATAATATTATTGTCTATTATTAAACGTTTTATCTTATAAATTATAATATATTATGGATTTGTATTCTACGTGAATAAAACGTATATTTTTACTGTCGCTTAAATCTTTTAATAATTACCATTCACTATGGCGTGTGTCATCGTCGTGTACTTAAATTTAAAATACAATAATTTATGTATATCTTTGCTGTTAAGATTTAGTAGCCTATTTACAAAAAATATTAATATATTCATAAAATTGTTGAATAAAAAGCGTAAACATTGATTACATTTATCTTAATATATTATTACGAGTTAGTCACTGACCGAGGAGTGGCACAATAATTAAAATTATTAAGACTATACGTAGTCGTATTAAACTTAAATCGCAATTGTACATTATACATTTTTACTTTAGAATTTCGCTATTAAGTAGATATGTGATTTTTACTCGTCGTTCAGTCTATCACAATTTCACTGAATTTCTGCTTACCCATACTTATAACACTTTTAATATATTATTTAAAGTCAGGTTTATACTTAAATGTGTTATGTAAAGTTGAATATTGTTCAAATTTAATGATGCAACTATACCTTTGTTATCTACGTATTAGATATACTTACGGTCACATAAAACGGCAATGTAGTAAAGAGTTCGGATTAATCGTTCAATTTTCGTATATTTATACATAATACAATAATCAATGTTACCTAGTCTTTGAATCAAATCGTAGACATATTTTATTAAGTATAAATATAAACACATTAAATTTAGACTTTTATATAGGGGAGGGGGGGGATCGTTAATTTTAAACTGGGCATTAATCCCTATTCTATTTTTACACATGTAGACGGCATAAGAGATTCCAAAATAATCAACCTAACCTAACCAAATCCTCAGAATTGCAGTGGTTGCATAATAACTGTCTATTATCTACAAATAAAACGCTTATTATTATAATAACACATATTCAAGCCCCTCCCCCCTTGCTACTGACTGCCATTATACACAGCATTAAGCACTATAATAGTGCTGTATAGATATACACAACGTATATTATGTAGTTTACGCCAAACATATCGTTCGATCAAATCACTGAGATAAAGCTGTCGAGTAGGTTTATACGACCGTTAAATGGTTGTAAAAGTATGCCACCGCGGCTCGAGGGTACCTATATCTATGTATTATAATATGTTTACATGCATATTTTATAATATCGTACACGCAATTTGTATGATATCATATGTATATATATATTATACATACATGATGTGCATTTTTTTGTTGTTTACGATTTACCCCTTTACAAAATAACTTCTATCGCCACCCTCTATGACCATAATTTTTCGACCGTTCCACGCCCGTATTTATTACATTATTATATATAATATTACAACGCTATATTATCATAGTATAATAATATTTATATGCGTGGTAATTATTCATCATACCGCGGTTGTGGTTTGTGGCAAAACGGTTTTAAAGGGTATCGTAATTACGTGCACTTATGTTGTATGTATGTGTATTCGTGTTTTATTTTACCGCAAACCGTTTAACATCAAATATTTAATGTTTCGTGTGTTTACAGGGTCATCCGGGTGACAAAGGACAGAAAGGCGATTCCAGCGCTCCGAATTTTGACATATATGCCGCGGTTAAGGTAAAACGAGAAACACAACATTACTTTTCCCCACGTTTCGACTGTATAATGTTATTACCTATCACTGTTTTCCTCAATCCTCACCTCATTCACTTGGTGTTTTTAAATTTTTTTCACTTTTATAATCGCGTATCTCTGACCCGCAGCAGTCCTCGCACACATTGTAATACGTATTTACACACATAAACAAATAAAAAGGTCAACGTTCTCATATTATTTACGGTGCGCCTACGCATTCGCTTTTCATATATAAGTTTTTTGGTATACTTGATAAAAGCGAGATAGGGTACTGGACCGATGCGGTATAGTCAATATAATTCGCAGATCTCAGAGGATTTTACCGCGAAAAGCAATATTATACGCATACACAAAGTACCTACACTACTCATGTATACAAAACGACCGGCGTTTCCGGTTTTTTTTCTCTTTCGATTCTCTCACCCCGTTTCACAGAGCGCCGCGCTAGTTGATTTCATTCATACGCACGTGTATGAGAATTTTTTCTATTTTATTTTTTTACTCTTCGGGTGGCCACATTTTTCTTTTTATCTACATATTATAAATAAACAGATTAATTCACCAAATACGCCAACTCATTTTGTTTCTTTTATAATTAATTTATATACATTTTAATACTACGATTTTTTAAACAAAAAAGTTTCAAATCGTTGATGTCATTTAAGGAGTGTCCTAACTATTCTACCTAATGTCTGTGTCGATATAAAATTGTTTTTTTTTTTAAATCAAATTTGACTTGTTTATTGTACATTTTGAAGTATATTATTTTTAGTTTTAATTTTTATGTAAGTATATAAATTGATATTCAACATTTTTACGAGTTATATTTAAATTATTTAATTTTATATAATATGAATAATAATCCATGACATTTTAGTTTAAGAAGATATTATGGGAATGTTGATAATTTAAAAATTATAGTAATTTATTAATATTTTAAAGTTGTAAAAATTTACTAAGATAATAAGTAGGTACTAAATTGAATATTTCATAATATTATAGATTTAATTTAAACAATTATCAAGAAATCACGATATTTTGCTTATAAAGTTAATTAACGCGAAAATACTCATTAAAATTTCGATTTTGATGTATCAAAATTTAAATAACACAAAAAATCTGCTTAAAATGTTTTTTTTTTCGTTTAAAATAAAGAAGTTTATTTCATTAAAAGAGAGTACAGGGCACTCTATATCAATAGTACAAAAAAAATTTAAGTATCTAAATAATAATATGGTTTTTAAGTATATTAGTATACTTAAGAATTTAAAATATCAGAATTTGAATAAATGATTTAATTAAAGAAAATGATCGTTTTTAATTGAATCACTCTGTATATAAAATATACGACAACGCATATGAATAACAAACCACTAATTATTACAGGGAACCAGCAGTAAACGATCTGTTACAACATTGAGAGGAGGTACTCTCGGATACGCAGAAATCGTAGCCGTTAAGGTGAACTATTTCGATATAGGATTTGTTAATACTTTTTTTTTTTTTGGTGTTTTTTGTAGATAGACTTCTATATATTTTTGTATTATTATTGTTATTAGTATTATTCTATTGTCATATCTTTCATCTTCTTTGCCGCTAGTAGTATAGACATAATAATATAGGTGTTGTATCTGCACTTATTGTATTTATCATTTATTGTGCGCGCGTGTGAGAACATTTTTTATTGTTATTATTATTTATATCTTTTTGAAACTTTTTTTTATTTTTTTATTTTTTGCGGTATTTTAGCTTTTTAGAAAACTAGTGGTTTGGAAAGAGACGATAACATATTTTTATTTAATATATAGAGAGCAAAGAAACGAAATCTCACGATATATGCAAAAATGTAATTTTTCAAATAAAAAAAAAACAACAAAATAACACTATAAATGCTATATAGCTATATTATACTTTTTATAAAAACAAAAAACATTCGGAGCGGGTATATTATATTACATCCTTGTAACCGAATTTAATTTAATAGTACTTTCAAGTTTCAGTATTCCCGTCTTGTATGGTAGCCGGAAGTTATTTTTTTTCATCTAAGCTTCACGATTTCCTTGCAATACAGCAGTTTGAGCCGGACGTTTGATATTAGGTACATATACGATATGCGACTTAACGACATGCTCGATATACCCGAATATTCTCGAGTGTTTTGTGTTGACGATAAGTATCTGTTTCCGGACAAAATCGTACACGATACAATACTGTATAACATATCCGCACCCTACACATATTATATTTTATGCAACCGTTGTACGAGTTTTTGTCTTTCGGTCAGTCCGTGCCTGTATATATGTATGTCGTATACGTCTTGTAAGTAATATTATTGTCATCGCATTCGTCTCGTCGCGTTATTACTAAGACTTCCTCGAAAATCTCATACCTACGCCGAAACGTGTTCATCACAATAGTCGTATAATATTCGTTTTGGTTTTACTAAACGTCTTGGCATCGTACACGTAAAAAAAACAACAATACGGTCAATTTTTATATTTACGACGTTTCTATACGCGCGTTCGGTATGTTATATTATCGTCGTCGTCGTCAAGCTGCAGTGTAAAACGATTTAATATAACGCCTTGAAAGTGTTTTATTTTATTATTTTACTGCGTTCAGACAAACGATTAGGAGGTTTATAATAATGATAATATATACATCCCGACTGACCATATAACCACTCTTCCTTTTATTTATTTATTATACAATAATTTTTTTCCGTGTCCTCATGCCTCTCTTTCTTTCTCTCTTGTTAGGTCCATTTTGTTTTTATTTTGCATGAAATGCTTTGTTTTTTTATTTACGGTAGTTGGTGGCTGGTTGGTTTATAGGGTCTACAAGAGCGTGGACATAATATATCGGCAGAAAGCATAGTCATGGTTAAAGTGAGTACAAATACATAAAACGTGCATGTTCGTATTCAGCCACATTTGTTTATTTTTTATTCATATCAAATTATTTCGTCATATTGGCCAGTGGCATTACTTACGTAACTATATAATCGTTTGATTTTTTTCAATACAATAATAAATACACGAAAGCAGACTGTTTGCAAATTTTTGCAGACACTCTGCGTGCGTGTTACGGTACGATGGACCAAATTTGTAAAAAATAATAATAATAATAATAACTTACGAAAAAAAACCATTAAATTAATATAAAACCACATATATTCATGATCATTGGGTTTTTATTTTCATAATCTTTCCTCTTGGGATTTACATATTCGCATAGATCATATTACTACTGACTCGTTATAACGACGGGTTTTCTTTCTATATAGCAGCGGGTAGTCATCGGTATATATATTTTTATAATACACTGACAAATCGTTTCCGGTCTATTATTTTCATTGATTTATACGTTCGATTTTGTGTGATCAGGTATTTAATTTTCATATTATTATTTTTTATTTATAAATACTTACAAATCTGGTCCCCTACCCTATTACCTACCCAATCAATGGGTGATTGTCCGATCGCTTTATTTGTGTGAATAACGTAACTTGATTTTAGGGTGAGCCAGGAGAGCCAGGACCGCCAGGGCCTATTGGGGCACGAGGACCCGAAGGAGCAATGGGGGTAAGTTGAATGAATCCGTTATTATTATTGATATACAATAGGAAATTTGAATATTATTATCGGAGCAAGCGTGTGCGATAATATGATGTACTATATTATATTATTATACGTTAACTGATACTGGTATCAACGACAAGGTTTAGCGGTTCTTTAGTCCCCTGCAGGTTATTGGGGGGGAAAGGGCTAGTGCTGGTAGTGAGGTGATAGATTTCCACACAATCGACATCTGTTCAAAAAAACCATATGGTCAGTTTTAAAAAAATTTACTTTTTAAAATACGATTCTTTGTTGTCGCTAAATATATTATATACTTATACATTGACATAAATGTATGTTCTTCCATTTGTTATACAAACCCTTTGTAAAAAATAAACACAAGGTCGGCTTAACTTATTTACTGTGGTATATATGCGAACCCTCTTATGAAAAAAAAAAACACGAGGTTGGTTACTATATATTATAATGAACGATACATTTTATTATTATATATTTGTCCACGACGTACCTATATATAATATATTATATATACTATTATTTTAAAATATCTATTGTTCTGCGGACGCTGATTTACTCAGGGTTTTATAAAAAACGTATAATAAAATTATTTATTTACTACATTTCCCCAAATTTTGAAAATAATGTGTATCAATCAATCAATTTTTGTTTCAAAAAAATAAACTTGCAATATAAATTTAGATCAACTTGTAAATACTACAATAGTTCCTGTCTAAAAGTATTTTGTTGATTAAGTGATCCACGTTGACTCATTTGCTTCAGAGCTGATTAAAATAAATTCGTTTATCACAAAAATGGATAACTCGATAAGACGTTCGTCGCATGCCCAATGCCTATAATTAAATTTACACAAAAAAAGTAATTAACGATTTTGGATTTTAAAAGCGTATTACTTTTTAACTAGAAAGTCAAATACTTGTAATCTTAACATTTTATTTGTTTATCAATATCTGAACGTTACAAAAAGCCTCATCCTTTGCTAGTTTTTAACGATTAGGTATGTATTATATTTTATTTAATAATAATTTGTAAATATACAATCTGTAAAGCTTTCTTTATAATAAGCATATATGATGCAATGTATATATATACATATTTTTTTTTTGCACATAAAAGATTTGTTTTATAGAAACTACCCAACAGTAACACTTTTAACGTCAATGATGATTAGGTTTATGAGTAGCTATATTTGTTTGAAACTGAAATCAAAAGGCAACGTAGTAAATTTGGATGCAAACTGCATATTGTAAACTATGTAGATTTTAACTTGGGTTAAGTTTGTATTTAGGTACATAAACTATCTCTAATAATACGTACTACTTTAAAACGTGGTTGGTATTTATGTTTTAATTTTTAAATGAATATGATTTGGCGAGGTTTTATTTTTTATATTCCGTAGTTTAATATTAATTTATCTATTAAACTCAACAGTTCAACGCATAAATGACACGCATCAACGGTTGTGTAAATAAATGAATACAAAATACGTTTCGTGTATAGTTGCAGCGTATTATATACACCTACATGAAAAAAACATTAATTTATTCTTACTAATTACAGGTGGAAGGTAAACAAGGACCACCCGGCGCTCCAGGATTGGTAAGTACCCCGGTATAATAATATGTATTGTGTTTCCATATACATATACCTAAACACACACACATACAAAGCACTGTAATACGATACTATTATGATATTAAATTATATTCATATAGGTACCCGGTATAAACCTATGTGTTATGTATAGATTATGTTCATTTTACTTTCACAAATCTACTTATAAAGACCAAAAAAAAAAAAGTATTATCAGTATTATCACTATTTATTCATATTATGCTTACTTTGTACCTACGTATGTATAGGTTTTCGAGCATACTATTACGATACTTTGTTGCTGTATATTAAACAAATAATTTCATATCAAGTTCAAAATTGTCCGATCTCACGGAATGATTGACGGTGGTGAAACGATAATATTATTTGACTCTACCTCTCGCTAAAGATTATTGATTAGCCTTAAAGAATTGTACTATTATGTTATATTTCGATTTTTTTTTTTTTTTTTTTTACTTGAATATATTAATATTTTCTGTATAGGTACCATTTTATACCTGATTTTATATTATAATATATTGTTATATTTTCTATATAACGTTTGTATTGAATTAATTTCGGTTTATAATTCCTATACGTTTTTAACTCTCAAAGATATTATTTATTTCTATCGATGTGCATGTTGTCAAATATAGTAATCTAGTTACAACTTGTAAATCGAATGTCGATACCATGGAGACGCGTACTTTCAACTTTTAAGTGACATTTGCGTCACGAATAACCGCCATTCCGCAGTTTTACTATACGATTGATAACGAGGTAATATATTGAACGACGACGTGTTTCCGATTTTTTTCGTTTCGGTACAAGATATTTGTTGCCAGTGTAATAAATACACGTGACAAAGCGGTGAAATGTGTACGTGTCGTGCATGAGTATAGATGATCGCAGTGCAAATGCAATGCAGGGATACCGACCAGGGGATATAGAGAGAAAGAAGAGAAATAGCAGAAAAAAAGGTCAGATTTTGCGTGACGTTCGTTTGTCGTATATTGTATATGAATGCACCGAGGATGTCGCAAGAGAGAAAAAAAATGCATGTATACAAAGAGTTACAAATATATATATCATGATATGTGTGTGTGTGTGTGTATGTAAGTACCGCGATGTGAGCAAGAGAATATTATAACGTAGAGAGAATGTTGTCGAGTTTGAGATCTGTAGTTGTAGAGGAGAAGAAGTGGAACACAAGAAAATATTTACTCAGTTGTGGTTTACGGGTGGATAGGCACAGACAGGGTGAAAATCGGGGGTCGTATTATAATAGTCATCATGTAAAATATCACATAAATATACTCTCGTGGCCTATACATATTATACTTTAGAGGGTTGGTTACGCGTGGCTCTCGTTCACACAGTTCGAATACGGCGGACAACGATGTGATAACTAAACCAAACATTGTACATATGTATTTAACAATATTTGCATAGTATGTCGAACAGCTATAAAAAATAATAATTATTTCCTTCGTTGTTGCACTAACACACAAATATATAATAATTATTATATTACGTCGTGTATATAAATTTAAATATAAATATAAGTGTGTGTATGTGTATAGTGAAATGTATTATACATATCAAAAATCCACATGGTTATGTATGAACTATAACTGTAGTATTATATTTTCTAATTGTTATGGAACACAATACTTATGAACGCATATACTAGTTTACCTTATATCTAAAAAATGTGTTTTCTTTTTTTTACCCATTAATATAGGTTGGACCGAAGGGCGACCGAGGAGAACAAGGGCTGCAGGTAAATAATCTATTATATATTTATTTTTTATCATATTAAAATCCGGTTGATTATTAATATTTAACTAAAAATACTATATTTTAATTTTTCACTAATGAAAATAAATAGCTATAGTTATGTATAAAGACGAACTCGTTAAAAATGGAGAAGAGTGTTTGTGTTTAAAAGTGAAGGGGATATTTTCAACGAGACATGTTGGTTTCCATGATTTTAAACGAACATGTCAATTATTTCATAACCAAACACTTTTTTAGAAACATGTAACATACATAAAAATAGTTATTTCAAGATATTATACATTTATACTAATAAAATTTTCATGAAATTATGTGCTGTTGCGTCCATTAATAAAATAGAGAAATATTGATTTTATAATATTACTAAATATGTTACTAACATGTGTAGAGAAATTGATAAATGTTGTTTTTGTTTTTTAGTCAGATTTTGCGTTTAAATTAGTAAAAATAAAAGTGTGTTATATATGTATATTAAAATCTGTTAAATATAAACAATAAATAACTTTGATAAATACAATGTAATAAAATAAGCATTAAAAACTTGAAAAGGAGACTATTCAGTAACAAAGCCTCAGAAAACTATAGTTTAATTAAACTTTTAAATTTTCTACAGACCTTCTATCTTTTGAAAAATATATTTAAAGATGGCGGTAGATGTTTGTTTTGAAGTTAGGAGAGGTAAGGCATATTATTAATGAGATGATTGGAGATGATAGTGGTTTAATAACTTTGCGTGGGCATTTTTACAGTGAATTGTTGTAAGTCCATGGACTGTTTATATTTTTAAATCACTGTAAAATGCAGTGTTTTTCATATATTATGGGTTACTGTTTATTTTCTGAAACTGAGTCTGAGAACGTTTATCGATTCCGTCGATTTTATATCGATTACGTCAGCTACTGTTTATAATATTTGCATATTGATTCCGCTGGATATTGATTCCGCCGACTACTGTTTATCCTTCTCTTGTAAATGTATTTATAAAATACAGTCTTGCATAATATATTAAGAGGACATCTTTAATTTAAACGATAATAATATTTCTAAGATCACTTATTTAAAACATAATATGCCCAAATATTACCAAAAGTAGTTACATTCATATTATATTTATATTAATTAAATTATACATTTTAATTTTGAATTATACAATTATTATTATCATTTTATACATATTATATATTATATAGTATATATTTTAAAATATATATACAAGGGGGGGGGAGGATAAACAGTGGCCGGCGAAATTAATAGTCGGCGGAATCAATAATTCCCCTAGTCTGATTTTGCCGATAGTTAATCTTTTTCACCTACTGACGTATTTTGTTGATTATTGTAATGAAATAATGCTATTTGGTTTTAGCAGAAAACATAGTTTTATTTTTAGGATAAGTTTACGTTTATTTTTATAATTTATTTTTTATATACTTTATATTATTTATATTATGTGAGCATTTTTTTAACAATTCCTCATCTTATTGTTCTATGTACAACCCATTTAATCGTAAGGTGATTTAATGTTTTAGGGCACACCTGGTCTACCTGGACCAATTGGCGAAAAAGGTCTTAGAGGCGATAAAGGTGATCGAGGATTGACGACGACGTTAAAAGGCGATCAATTCCCAACAGGCATTATCGAGGGTCCACCAGGACCACCGGGACCACCTGGTAACGAAATAGTTGTCGATAATATTTACTTAGACACCTCAACGAGATATTATTATCTAGTATACATGTTGTTCACATACTGTAGTATTTTGTCTTGACTTTTTATCCTTAGCGATTGAACATAGTATTAAAAATTGTTTTTATGTATTCACGAAATAATATTCAAATAGAGTGTGATTCCCAGGTACTCTACTAAACTTTCAATTAAATTTAGAACATTATATTTATAATTATTTACATTAAGTAAAAAAAAAAAAAAAAGATAATGGTTAATTAAATACAATGTGATCTATATTATTGATTTGGAACCAATTTTCAAAAAAACAACCACCGGGAACACACTTTCTGTAAATATAATATTTTATGTCTTATCGTTTTTGTATCGTTTGCTATTAGAGTTTTATATTATAATACATTATATACGTTATTCATTTGCTGTCTGTCGGACCTGCAGCACTATTGAATAGATGCGGTGTCATAGTCAGCGTGCGGGTGATATTTTATAGCCTAAATGGATTGTAGAATATATTTTAGACTTTAGTCATAGCGTAATGTTGATCACACATGTGTTTTGTTTGTTGCTTACAATTTTCAAGGTCCGGTCGGTTTGCGTGGCGAAAAAGGCGATTTGGGCCCCATAGGGCCACCGGGACCCCCCGGCGAAAAGGGTCGAGGGAAGAGAGGAAAAAGGGTAAAGGAATTTCATAAAAACAGACATGACTTACACATTTGTATTATATGATATTGATTGACACTCCATAGCCCGAATTTACATTGGACTCGTGTCGTACACGCACACTACGGCGGCGGCCGACATGCATGCACCGATGACGCATATAATGTCACAATGCAAATTTTATGTATGTGTACTTGTTTGCACGTTTCCGCGTGGTTATCATCGTTATACATGTTGCGGATTGGAGGGCGTTTATAGGCGGCGATCAATTTTTCTGTGCAAAATATCGATATTTCGATGTTCCCGCGACGGTCCGCAAGGAGATGTCGCCGGTGTATGCGAATAGCTAAACAGTTAGAAGGGAGGGGTGGACAACTAAAATCCAATAAAGATTTTTGCGCTATAATTCCAGTGATAGTTTGTTGCCGTGTCTAAATAATAATGCGTTGTACCCTACGCAATAACGAATTTAATATTTACATCTTATTCGACAACTTATAGATATTGGGCACACTATACCCTTGTTATAAACCGAATTCGTGTATTATATATACACAGATTGATTTGCCAATTACGATTACTTCAATTTCAACATTTGATCGTGCATTTATTTAAAATATAATTGTTGATATTTTTAAATATAAGTATACTTTCATTGTATGGAACTTAAGCAGTTTCTGCTTATATATATATATATATATATATATGTATTCTTTTTTTCTAAAGTGAACATTTATTTTTTTCTGTAAATATTATTGTTGATACAATTGTTTTTTTAAAAATTCTAATAATCTAAATTAAAATGTTGAACGAAAATATTTCTGAATTGTACAATATTATGCATAAAGGAAAAGAATAATATAGGTTGTAATAATATATTTTTACCATTCGACATTATTAAAACATTCATATTAAGTACTTAATCGAAATGTGTATTTGAAAATACAGTATTTTAGTATAAATGCAGATCATTTAAATAAACGCATATACGTCAGGTATAATAGAGGTGAACACATGCTCGGCGAATCACTCTGTTTATTAATAATCATTAAGCCTTGTAAGATTGGCAAAAAATTTGATCAGAACTATTCTCACACATACCCCAAACATATCAGAAATAATAATTCAATAAATTATTGTGAATTGCAACAGTAATTATTATTTATTACTATATATAGTACAAAATCACGCAATTATAATTTATGTTATAACAACCGTCGTGATCATCATCACGGCGTTTGTATTTATGCGTGCGAATTAAACATGAGCATCGTGTTGGCGCAGGCTACAAGAAACGTTTGTGCATCTATAATTCTGAAAAACCCTGTGCATGTTTATATAGTACATACATACACACATACATGTGCTTGTGTGTAAGGGGGCGGATACCAGTTGGTGGGAAGACGATGGGGGTTAAAACTTTCTTCTTATATACCATTTTAAAGACGCTTTTTTTTTTTTGTTTAAAAGTTAATTTATAAAAACATTTAACAATTTTTATTAGTCTTTAATATTATATTTCTTTCATATTTTTTAAAGAGAGAATCACTAGTAATCAACTAAAAAAAAAAAAAATTTAATCAGTGGTAGAAATACCTGTTTTTTTGTCTTTTAAAGCATTATTGTTATTGTTTGAACGAATTTATAAATCTCCTTGTCCTCTACTAGTCTACTATACCGTGTGTATACGCATCTAATTTAATTGGTATGTCTGTGACTTTTTATTATATATTATGCACCTATTTTGTGTGTAGCCCACACCTTTATTTTTCATTTCTAGATCCGCCCTCGCGTGTGTATGTGTGGAGCAAGTTTGTAGTTAGTACGTGTATTCGCCTGCATATTATGTATATGTAGTGTAGTGTATAGCGATATTTTTTTTATTTTTTTTTTTGCACGTGGTAGAAGATTACGTATTTATAATATTATACCTGTACGCGATGTATTATATGTATTTTATTTTATGATGTTTTATTTGTTCTCTGTGTACACTATTTATTACCACGTAATGAATATTTTATATGTATAATAGATCGATAAAAATTATCGATGTTGTTCGCATATTATCGTTTTCCAGCTCTGAGTTACTATGTTTTATTATTATTATTACTACTATCGTATTGTGTATAATAATAATATACCTAGATTTTATTATTTTATGATATCGCTTAACGGTTTGTCGTTAAATTGTGTCAAATGGTATTTTATTTTTTTTTGTTTTCTATAATCACCCGCTATTCTCCAGGATTACCAGGTCACAACGGCACGGACGGTATCTCGGAACCAGGTTTACCGGGACCCCAAGGACCTCCCGGCCTGCCAGTAAGTATATCATACACATAATTATTCGCACACATCCGCTTGCCTGCGATTTAATACCTGCGTAATTTTAATAAAGTCTTCCGCGAATGAAACTCGTATAATTGTCTAAACGCGCGGTGCTGTCACCCCGCTGATAATTCAAAACAGTTCGCTCGACTGCATCGCGATATAATAATATAATACCTAAGTATATTATACTTAATATTATTTACAATTCAGTCTTTCGAATCTATCCATTCCCTCGCGCGTTTCATCAATCCTATATTTAATAATTTTATTATAATACGCATCTGAATTGAGTCGGATATAACTCCAGTCTAATATAGATTGTCGAATAACGACCGATTTAAAAATAACACATCTCGAGCCGCTCTGCCTTATTAAAAAAAAACAATTGGAACGCTCATAATTATATTTTATTTTACTCAACGGTTATTTTAACAAACAACTTAAGCTTCGCAGATATTTTAGTAATATTGAACAACTTGTTTTGTGTTCTAAATATTCTATTCAAAGAACAATGTTACAAAACTATTATCGAATCTCATGTGCAGCCACGATGATTTCGATCTTCGGATACCAAGGTTACTACGGTGTTCGTGATTACTCTTTTATAGGTATTAATAATCATTTAAACATCGTGTATTATTTAAAAACACGAAACGCACTATTGTTCAGCATGAAATTCGATAACATATTTGCGTGCTTAGTTTAAGTACAATTTTATTGTCAAAAATCATCGTATCGAAGACGTACGTTTATAATGTGATATTATAATGGTAAAAGTTTTGTATTATATATATATGTGTGTGTATTAGAATCCGAAATTTGTCGACTAGAACCCTGTATAATATCCAATTCTATCATTAAATAAAAATTATTATTATTCATAGGGCTTATCGGGTCCTAAAGGCGAAAAGGGAGATTATGGAGACATTGGACCTCCCGGTTTAATGGGACCTCCTGGTTTACCAGGTCCACCTGTAAGTATATATTTTAATATTTTATCAATACAAATAAAAATTAATATTTATCATCACATCATCACAGTGTTGTAAAGTCCATGTAAAAATAATATTATTATATTTAGTCGTTGTAAGAACTATAAAATATTGACTAAAAAATGACTCTAGATTTTTTATTACTTTTAATTAACAGCATCTAATTTATATTATATATATATCATTTTATCATAAATGTACACAATTATAACTTAAGTGAGCGCTAATAATCTATATTTTATATAATAAAATCCCTTCGTATTTTTTAGAATTTAACGATAAGTAGAAAGCTTTTGTTATTGAAAGCCCGCAATTCTAAACATTTACCGAGGTAAATAGCTAAAAGATAATTGAAACCTAATGTATATTAACGTTTAAACAATATTTGAGTGCAAAGGTTAGAGTTATTATTTTAATGTTGTTAAAATACGTTATTTGCACATGTATATGTTATAATTCATGTATAGAAAAATGTATAATATTACGTGATAACGTGTATTGGATAAAAATCAAATCTAGATTTTGTGATGCAGAGTATATAAATAATAATTTAAATTTTAAACAAAACCACAATAATGATTTTTTTTTTTAGATTTTTTCTATTGATAAACACATAACTATGTGCAATATGCCATGTATATTATAAAATATGATTAAGTAAAATTATTTTATTCCGTCGTTTTGATAAGTTTATAATAATGTAAATAATTTAACAGGGATATCCAGGCCAAAAGGGTGACAAAGGTGACAAAGGCGAGTCGGTGAGTATATCAATATTTTTAAAAATATAATCATTTAATGAACATAATAACTATTGGCTGTTATGCTAAATGTTTTATTCTCATGAATGATTTTTTTGCGCGGAATTTAGATTTGCTGCATGCCATAATTGGATTTAAATATTTTTATTATGTATTTAACGTTTTGTTTTTGTTTTTTTTTTTTCAGAAATACAACAATAAGAAGATCAGAAGACGACAAGTGAGTGATAATTTTTTCTTTTTATTTTACAGTATATTTATTTTCTCCTAAACGTTTTAAGAAACGTCCGTTTTAGTAGTTATAATATATTATGTATATATATATGTTCACAAACCATATTTTTTCCACGCGATAACAGAGGATAGGAGTCTACTTTTCATGTCCAAACTTTGTTCATAACTTCACGAGAGCGAGACGCGCGTGACTTTTTTTCCTTCCGCGTGTTTATAGTTTCCATTCTGTGACATTTTTTTGGCAGCGTTTGTGCACATATTTCGAACAAACCATGTTATACGCGTGACGTGAAAAATTATGAGTTTCGTCCGTAGGCATTAACCACTAACGTGTTTTCCATCCGCCGAATCTGATCTGCTCTCGAAATTAATTAAAAAAACTTATCGTGTTCATCTAATGACTTTGTTAGTTGTGAAAAAAGTATTTATTCGTAGATTTCTATAAAACAATAATATCTGTATGGAAGAAGAATAAAAAAAAAAAACAGTTTTTTTTTCGGAATTTATACATTAAATTCACATATTTTATGTTAATGAAAAAAAAATAATTGATTTTAATAAGTACTGATTTTTCCATAGACAAATCATGAAGAGACAACTTTTGAAAAATATTCAATATTTTAATTTTAGCAACTTCTTGTGTATTAACATACATAATTTATTGAATTACTAAACGCGAGTGATAGAGCAAATACAGCATCAACCGACACACTATTTCTAATGAATTCAGCGACTAATCCTGTTTTAGCATGCACATAAAATTATATACACATTAAACACAATTATTTATAAACTCATAGTCACCGCTATATGTAGGTACTTTTAAAATGTAAAAAACTCGATTTATAGTGTTTTATTAAAATAAAATTTCGTAACACTTGACCTTTTTATAAGATATGTACTCAGTCTTTATGACCAATGACATTTATGACACTCGACTTTATACGATACTTGTAACTGCATAAAACTCGTTGATTTCTATGTGACCTACACATACTCCTGCACGTGTACCTACGTAAGTTTGATTGAAAATTCTTAGCCTTAGACTCATCGGATCAGACACTTTATTTTTTGCACTCACCCGATTGAAAAATAGAATTTTTAGGAGTTTAACATTGGTCCATCTACTTTTGTTTTTTATCAGATCAAGCTAGAATTTTTTCTATATATAAGACGTGTCGAAAAAAAATGACTATTTTTTTTTTTTTTGTCATGTTTATTATTTTTGTTTCCATATTTTAGATTTGATATGAATATTTTATTGATACACTTCTATCGCTTCTTAGTCATATTGAATAATATAACCTGTAAGTGTAATTAATTTTGTTTTACCTTTTTTTAAATTTCATTGTTATTGAAACTTTGGCATAAACTATTATTATAAGTGACACTAACCTAAATATACGACAATACTTGTCTGGATTTAAAGTGTCTCTTTAGGATCACAACAATTGAGAATTATAGTGTCGGTTTTTTTATTATTAGGTATATACCTACGCGTTAAGCTCTCTCTTCTGCTCCGTCTCATTCTCGTAGGTCTCTTTGTTCGACGAAAATAATTTATACTCTATCTCCAAGTTCGTAAAAGTACGGTTCGTTTATTTTACTTTAATTTTCAAAATCGACTCTTGTAAAACCATCACTTTGTGTTCAGTTCTCGAAAACGCTATCGGATATATTTATAACAATATGCATTAAACATGTGATATTTTGAATTTACTTTTTTTCAGTTCCAAGGCGACGGCGCTTTCGAAACGATTAATGAACCAGTAAGTACCGTGTTATTTTTAAACATTTTAAATTTTTTTTTTTTAAATCCAATTTTGTAAGCATTAATATAATTTTTCTTTAATCCAAACAGCAGTTAGTGGGACCTCCTGGACCACCTGGACCGCCTGGATTACAAGGTACGTCCACATTCTTTTAGTATGACTTAAAAAATACATTAATTTAATGATTTTTTTTCGTTGTAAATAGGTCCTCCTGGTATTAAAGGCGAACGAGGCAAAGACGGCGACAAAGGCGAAATAGTAAGTTGTTTCTGTTTTAATAGTATAAAATTATGCTGTTGTAACAATTCATTTATCACAGTCGTGCGTACATTTATTAGTGTAATACATGTATATTATACATTACACATTTTAAGTAACGTAAACTTTCGATCGATATAAAATGTGACATCTATTTTCACACGTCGCATATGATGTGTTGTAAACACTTTGAAACTTGCAACTAATTATAACCGCTGTAGGTAAATGGTATAATATTTTAGTCATCTATTATATTATTATTATTATTATTATTATTAATACAAGTTTGAATAGACGTAGAAATTGTAGAATATATAATAAATTTATTATTTATATTATTTATAGGCTCGTAATTAAATATAATAATTATTACTAAGTTAAGATAAAATGTGTGTTTTGATTTGAAATAACGTTTAACGGAAAGTTGAATGAAAAACTCGATGTGTGTTCACGTTATATAACATTACACAGGAACGCAATATACGTACAACACTTAAATTATGTTTTCAATAATAGGTAATTGGCTGACAGCTGACAGGTTATTCGGAAAAAGAAAATTAAACCCTTTAGTTTTTCTTTCCAACCGGATATTAAAATGTCAGCGACAAATTGATTCAATGCTTACTGTTAAGTTACCTAATCTAAAATCTTTGTCAGATATCGACTGAACTGAACGGGCTATTATAATATATCTAATGCTACGCACGTAAGCATGTCAATTATAGCAGTTTAATGATTATAATGTTTTAATATTTTGACTTTTTTTTTGTAAACGGATTACTTAAATTACGTTTACTGTGTATTATGTATAGGATTTTATTTTCCGACAATATAAGAAGTATTTATAGAAAATCTAATTGTTATAAATTGTCTTTCGAAGAAATATTAAAAATATATTAATTTATGACACATATATAACGTTCTGAAAAGAATAAATGTTTCCATATAAAATACGACTGATTGAAGTAAATAATAATATTATTATCGTGTTCGGAACGCGAGACATATATTTTATTGCTATATTTCTAAGAATACCCAACTGTATAGGTAATATACGCGATTTAAATTATTTAATTAATCTTCTGGTGTGTAACAATATTATACTGCTACAATCATCGCATGTTATTGATACATTGTTCAAGGTAAATTGAATGATTAAAAAATTAATAGTTTATATGTAGTATGTTGTATATTTTCATTTCTTGATGTTCAACAAATTTCACGCGTGTACAGGACAATTATGTCACCATAAGTATTTCAGAACGCTTATGACTTATGAGTTTTACACATTTTTTTAATTTTACTTCACAACGATTTGTTCAAAATAATAGTGTGTGATTTTTTCTTCAAAATATGATAAATATAAAAACTTAAATACACCTTACATGATATTATTAAGTATAAACACATACCTATGTAAAAAAAAAATATAATAATACTGAGGTTTACAATCTTATATTATAAAAACAAAATCGTCCTAATAATTCTGTACACAAATACCCACATACAAGTCGCTTGAACGAGTGTTATAATGTGTAAATTATGTATACGTGTGCATGCGTATTAAAGTTAATGTTTATAATCCGTTATTTTATATATATTATATGTACGGAATTTCAAATACGTTAACGCTTTAATACCTATGTTCCACGGACCATAGTTTATACTTAGTTTGTAATATTTAAACATTAGTTATGTACAGTGTTTGTCTAAAAAAAAAAACTCAAAAACCCTCTCGTTTTATGTAAAGTCTTACAATTAGTAACATTTACTATTTAGTATTAATATCTATAAATAGTATTATTCGTATGACATCGTTTATTATCGTGGGAATATCTATAATCATCGCTTACTTAGGAAAATATTGTTTAAATGAAAAGGGATGAATTGCGCCGGAGATCTCTGATAAAATGAAATAATAGAAAGCATTATACATCTACTAATTGCACAAATCGATTATGAAACATTTAACAATAATTATTGTTTTACATAATAAATATTTTTTATGATTATATATTTAAAAAAAAATAGTAACATTTAAATGGATCTGCGCATTATCTAATCAACAGTATTTTATAATATTATTAATTATTATAATATATTCTACTGTTTTCGGCTATAAAACTATGTTTTGAAAAATATTTTTCCAAAATAAATATTCATAGTGTTGTTCTGTTTCATATCTGTACCTTCCGTGTACGTATTCAAATTATATTACCTGAATTTAGTTGTTTTAATTGTTTTTAAAAATCAATTAGTTGATTATTTAACAAATCAATGATTTATAATTATTTTTGACACGCGGTGCAGTTAATATACATTTTTTTAGTTTATCAAAAATGCACTTGCGTAATGCAATACAGATAATACAAAATATTCGGTTCTATTGACCAACACCATATACACTTAATATAATATTATGTACAATAGATCGCGGTCGGTGAGGTATATAATAATAAATTGTGCAATGTCAACGTGCACAATCGACAACGAAGATCGAAGAGGCAAGGGGGGGGAGGTGTCGTCCGGTATTATTCCACTCACGATTTGCGAAGGGCTGACTTATTCTACGATTGCATATTTTTACCGTCCGATTTCCCAACGGCCAAACGTCGTGGTAATAATAATATAGTTTCGGACACACGCACATTGCTACAGTAATAGTGAACAGCTTCCTGGCTGACGGAAAATCGATAGCTATGATAATAATGTGTATTATAATCTCGCAACGTTCAACCAGTATAAAAGTACCTATAGTGTACTTAGAACACCCATCGTAAAAAAATGTATACACAACGCAATACGATTATTTTATGACCGCCAAGCAACTATCCACGTCGAGGTAATCCCCATCAAGCGCTAAATATTATTTAAGGCGATTATTGCATCGCGAAATGAGCAACTCAATTATATCACTCGGAGTTGCGAGAATATTACTTTTACAAAACCGTTATAAATTTGTTATTACTTTATATTTTATGTCTGTAAATATTATGTAGGTATATACGCATACAACATTATATCGTGACACAAATTTATATAGATAATATCATAATAAATAAGACTCAGTACGTATTCAATATGGTTTATTATAAATTGCAATTTCTACAATTTCTTATAATTATTATAAATTATTATTTGTATTTAGAGGGAAGTAATAGATATAATATAAACTAATATTTAAATATACACAAAAGCAATAAAAGTTAAAAATTAATAACAGTTTAATACTACTATGATAGGTAAATGTACTCCATCAATAGTAGGTAGTCAACAACAATAATAATCAATAAACAATAATAAAATATTTTTAATTTTACATTAATTTAGTATAACTATTTTGGTTATAGTAATGGTAAAATATTGAGAAATAAGAATTGAGATTTAGACTATGGATGTTTTATCACAAAGAACGCACTTATGTTTATTCGTTTTTATAATTAATTTTAAATTGATTTATTAGACATTAGAGTTCTGTTACAACTTTAAATAATTAAATGGTAATCATTGTTATTCAGTTGTTATTTAATAATTAAATATAATATATATAAATCTCAAATGTATTATCAAATTTTTCATGTATTTATATTTATGCTAAGATCAATAGTTATTATAATCTTAAGAAATCTTTAAAGACAGGCATTAAAATATGTATATATGTAATAAATACGTACGTATGTATAAAAGTGATACTGTTTTTACGATGCAAAAAAACATGGTAATACAATATTTTGTAAACTACGTAACTATATGAAATATACCTAAAGCAGTAGTTGTGTTAGTGTTGGAAATAATGTTAAATTCAACTTTTTTACTCGTGTATATTATAACAATATAAGCACGTAGAAATCCATACCTTATATAATTATATTCATATTATTAATTTATTTTACTTAAATATCAAGATAATTCTATGAAAGTAATGAGCTACGAGTAGTATAGGTGTGCTAGATAATATATTATATAATATTATAGCTAGATATATATCGCTGTTTACAATCAATGTAATAATACGATCGGGTAACTAACAAAACGAAATTATTAGAAATGATTATACAATAGAATGTATCTATTAGTCTTAGATGTAAATATACATTCCATAAAGCTATTTATGTAAATATATACGCCTTAGAGTGTATATAATTTCAATGTATTGAAATATATATGCCATTCATTAAATTTTAATTGATAAAAATTATTAGTAGATAGTAATAAGTCAGAATGATTACTTACCGCCTATTGATTACTGCTATTAATAATGATAACGATGAAGTTCCAACTCAAATTTCAAGAATGCTAATTTATGAGTATTTAATATAGGGATAAACTATTCATTGTATATTATTTATTACCTACTATGACGATAACAAATTGTCCTAAAATAATATTTAATACGATTCGCATATTATTAGGTATGTAATATAATAACCTTTCCGTCATCGTTTTGGGTCGTTTAGACCTTTTGAAAACAGAACTGATTCATTTACGTTTAACGTCTAGTTTAATATTATTGCTCCACAGTCACTTGCTAAATAAACTATATTAACCAGTCGATAACCACTTTTAACTGTTATATAAATTTACATCACAATTCTGCGTGTTTACGACAGTTATTTTAAAGCGGATACAATACATACTGTATAATAATATTATGTATAAGCAACAGGTTAGAAGACAGTTGATCTTCACGATAAAAGATTTTTATTGGAATTTAATTTTTTTATAGAACTGTAGTGTAGACGAAACACATCATTTTAGATTTTTACAGCATCTTAAATACAAATTAGTTTGAATATATAATATAATATTATTTGAATGCTGGTTTTGTTTTTAATTTTAAATTAACAATTGGTCAAAAATTAGAAAACTGTAATGAATCTTAGATATTTATTTTGTACATATAATGACACCTAATGTGCTGAAACGTTTTAATAAAAAAAAAATGAGAAGACATTTATTTAAACATAAAAAAGGTTTTAAGAAGTATTATTATTATTATTTTAAGTTCATGTTGTATTACATCTTTGTATATTTTAATTATATTACGTTGTTCATAATAACATAAACTAAAATAAAGAGAACACTTTTAAACGGCGTCGAACTGTGATAATAATAAAATATCGAAACGTGTGTTTTGAAATAACTATTGTAAAACAATACAATCGCATGTGACAATCATTTTAATCGTTTTACATTTTTCTAGGGTGAAAAAGGATCTAAAGGCGATCCTGGCCCAATGGGTTTACCCGTAAGTATATCGTACCGCAGCTGTAGTCGGCCCAATCGCAGCCACACTACATTGTTATTATTATTTTGTGCAGTATACTAAAATCGAATTTCTTTTGTTTATTTTATTGTCCTTACACATAGGGCCCAATGGGACCCAGAGGAGATTCCGTCCAAGGAAAGACCGGCCCGACGGTAAGAAATCCGTTATAACTATAATTCATCTACATAATAATATTATAAAACGAGTCATCTGGTTATATTATATTAGTAGCTGATATACATATAAACTCGTTTATCATATTTTTTTTAGTAATTAACATTATACCTTAACATCTCTAAAGTTGATAAAAAATAAATGCTTTTTCTACAGGTTTAAGGCAGTTTACTTCTTAGACGCGTTCAAAAACACTAACATCCGTCTTATAAATTAAACTACTTTTTAGACTAACTATATATACACTACTTATATTATTATTTTTCAAATCCTCTATTATATAGAATAATATATATCATCATTAAAGTTTTAACTAACCATTTTTTTTTAAATTTAGTTTTACGCTATAATTCACCTATATTTCTTAATGTTATAAATAATGATTAATACGTTTTGTAGTTATATCTCGTCGTTCCGCTACCGTATTTATATACTAATTTGCGTAATATAATATTAATATAATTTAAGTCGCAATATGTATTTATGATTTTCATTTTTTTTTTTTTTTACTTATAATTAATTTATAAAAAGATTGGCAAAGACGTGTAAATATATGTTTTTTGACAAAAACAAGTTAAACCTTTGTAAATGATAAAATAATTTTATTATATTCATTTTTTTTTATGAACGCGACATTATTATAATTTACGAAACAAGTCTGTAACTTAATGTGTTTTATAAGTTTTTTTTTTTTTTTTTTGTATATAGGTACCTAATGTCCAAAATCCACCTAAATGGCAGTGGGGCTAAAACGATACATCACCTAATAAATACACACCAAAAACACACACAAACACAAACAAATAAATTCGTTATTTTAATCAAAACTTATAATATTTTAAGTATTATGTTAAACTAAAACGATTTTACAAAACGATGTTATTTTCTGGATGCTCTGGAGAGTGGAAAATATTCTATCGGGAGATGATAGAAATAATAATCAAACCAAAAATCGATATACATTAAGTAATAAAATCTTCTTAAGTTATCATATTAGTCCCACATTTATAATTTATATCAACAAACACTTGACATTATCAAGTTTAAGACATGCGTGGTTTAAGCCAAATTGCATCGGCAAGTAATGATTTCGGTCGGTTTTTTCAAAATTTTTGTTGAACATGTCGATCGCGTCACGGCCATGGGTTACTTGATTTACCTACCCCCACATACTTGTCCACTATTCATGCCAAAGTATTTCTCCCTTAAACTTAATTCAACGTCACTATATAACCATACTAGTAGACGAACGCGTCATTTCCTGTACTTCCATACGAATCTATTATATGGTGGTGTTGCGAATGTGACTTATTTATATATTATATTCGTAAAAACACAATTATATTATAGATTGCTTAGATTTAGCCGATATAATGTTATCAGATTTCATCATTTTCTGGATTCGAGTGTCGAGTTATTGCGTTATTATCGAAACCGATATTGAAAAACAAAAATCTTTATGATGATTTTTTTCAGTTCAGTCCCATTATGGTTCCCATAATTGTTTTTAACCTATCCTTTCCACCACTCCATAAACATTATGATTGATGTCATATAGATTTAAGTGATTTATATATTTTTTTTTTTTTTTTACATAACTTGTATATACAATTATAATATACTATATACATATACAATTATGTATCATATATTATATATATAAAAATATGGTATACTTACTCTTCCGCGAGATGCTTTACGTAAGGAACGGAAATTAATAAAGAAGTTTTTCGTTTGTACATAATTTATAAGTAATATATACCTATATAATATACTCTTAATGGTGTATTAGGGTTAAGCACATACAATATATAATATTATATAGTATCGTCTTTTGGATGAGTATTAAAACAAAATTAAGGTGAAAATATTATTGTTGTATACCATTCTATACATATACATATTGTGTAAAATCTATATTATATATTCATCGATAAATTATTATTATTATTATTATTACTGTAAACATATTAATTTATATTATATAGCTATCTTTTATTACAACACTTGCGTGTAAAATTACATTTTTTTTTTTTTTTCATTAATATATTTGATTCAAAATATAACGATACTATTTACGGTTTAAACTACTATGTATATTATATTAAGTGTATTGTATTATGTTAAATTTTTAATTATAATAAATTTAATATTAAGTGAAAAGCTACCACTGTTATGTTAATATAATTATTGAGGTATAATATTATAGTAAGTGCATTTTTTGCCTGTATGCATTGTCGAGAATATCACGAATAATTGCAGATTCGTGAGTGCACCGCAATAAAATGCACGTCTTATATTATTTTTCTTCTTTTTATCTGTTCCTATGCTGGATGAGTGCATCATATCGCGTGTCTGTCGGAAATATTACAATAACTATTTTGTAACATTTACAGCTAGAGAGGATATCAGGAAATTGGAAAATCAATACATTTTTTATTGAATTTAAACAGAATAAATTCCTATTTATCTCGTAAATAGATTTATATATTTACTCCTAAGGCCATTATATTGTTTAGACAATAATGGTTAAGGTTCGTTAATAATCTCTCTCATGTACATAGTAGGTGCCTATATTATTTTATTATATCAATGCGTTTCATCATACATATTTTTACCATCAATATTTTATTCTACGTTTGATCAAAAATTAATCCAATAAAAAAATGTTGATTGACCTATTGACCTATATTTTAAAAGAAAATCGAATCAATGAGAATATTCAAAATTATAGTCACTAATTTATACATATATTGCACAAGTGCTAAAAGCGCATAGTGTTTTATATAAATATATTATGTTCAATACAACAATGAATTTTGAATAGAACGAAATGGATTTAAAGCCATTCTATTAATATAATATTGATATAATCTAAAAGTTATCGATGTTTAAACATAATATCTTAAACTATTTAACTGCGACTAAATAATATAATAAATCGCAATAATTATTTTTCTCATTTAAAATTGAACTTGTGCAGGTATTACGTATATGTTTTTGAATACGAAATAATTAAGGATAGCTATTTAGAAACAGTTATAATAATTTTATACGTCTATTTCCTTGAATTTGTATTTAATTTATAAATTATGCATGATATAATTCAGATCGTAAATAAATGTATATAGGTATATTTTTTTTTAACACAATTAAATAATAATAAATATTTTCGTTCTTATATTTTATTTAAAATATTACTCCAAAGACACTTCAGTTTATTCGTCATTTTTTTCTGTTTTATAAATAATATTAAAATCTTTATAATTATATTTTATCGTAAATGACCTATGGAAAGTTAAGTTACTAAAAACTATTTTTTCATATTAAGACATAATATTCTAAAAATATATAGTTGGTTATAAACCGGGTAATGAAGTTTTTACTATTTTATTTATTAAAAATTAAAATTAAATGTAGTTTGTTTAAATACTTTGAACAAACCATATTTATTGATGAAAACAATTTTCTCGTTTTGTTCTGAATAATAAGATATGAACGAATCGTGCGCTAAATTATTCAATGTTCATAACAAATTAAAGTCAAAAATTATAATAAATTACCCAAAGTCAAAATATATACAAACGTTTAGAATAATAATTTAAATAAAATTGATTGAAAAAACAATAATGTATTTAAATCGAGGGTGCATTAATTGTCAAACTTTAATTGCTTAAATATTCAAATATGTATTCATTTCTTGAATACGATATAATGTTTTAAATTATATTATGAAATGTACTCAGTATTTAATATTAAATAAAATGTTTTGATAATAATTATTTTCTGAGATTGACGTGGCAAAAATAAAATAGTACCTATAAAATCCTAGTGAAAAAAATTACGGATAACGATGTGATGTGCTTTTAGAAAATGATTCAAAATATTTTACAATTACGTGGAATTCTGTAATTATAAGCAGCATCCAGTAAAAACCGGTGTGCAGAGACTCAGTCATGTTGGAAAAATATAATAACTCAAAGTACATTATACTAATATAATATATACTAATACATATTAGGAATATTACAATATTTCCAACAGCGTTTTCGTTAGTAGCTAACTTTCACTCATTCATTACAATGATAAGTGTCCTATATAAATATTTGGTTTAAAAAAAATAATTGTGTACTTCCATTCTAACGAAAAACTGATTTGTCGAATGCTGCATGCGTGCCTGCGGGGTGAGTACCTAATTAACCAATTTTGTGACTTATTTTTTTTTTGACCTCCGTTCATCACTAACCATTGTTTGCAAAATCTATCCGTATCCCTAATGAGTATACGTGTTAATAAGGCTTTGGTTTTTGTTATTTTAGGGTCCTCCAGGACTGGACGGGATGAAGGTAATTATCATAATTCATAATACATCAATTTTAATACCTAAAATATATCACACGCATAATACTCCCATCGGTTGGGCCGTTGTCGTATTATATAATGTTATTTTTATGTTTTTTTTTACCGAAAATTACATTAATATTGTGTTTTAAAACTATATGTTACACCTTATACTTATTATGTTTCTGTCTCTCTATCGCTTTATCGCCTATATTTCTAGGGTGGTCAAGGGGAGCCCGGTACCAAAGGGGAACGCGGAGATCCTGGCCTGCCTGTATGTATGTCACACAATATACGCATAAACGTATATTCTAAATGATAATATATTGTGTACATATTAATAATAATATGTATCCGTGTTTTAATATCTACGTTTGGTTTTTAATGACTAACGCGATTTTTTGTAAGGAGAGAAAAATACTTCTAGCTGTTTCTGTTCTGTTTTAGGGTACGGATGGCATTCCTGGTGGTGAGGTATAACATTTAAACTAAACAATATTAATATATTTTGCTTCTATTTATTATAACATTATGCGTCCAGCAGAAACCGTTTAAAACAATCTGGGAAAGTGCTACCGACTTGTTCGTTCTTATAATTTCAACTCTTCACTGTAAACATAATGAATAACAAATATAATCGTCCTCTTTGTATAAGATTTACAATTTTCAGCTTACAACATAATAAGACTCATAAAAGGCAATAATATATAAATGTATAATATATTACCTATGTATTTTGTGTAGATCAGTTAATACTTGGGTCCTGAGACACTCGAAAGAAATTAAACATATTTTATTGAAACTACTATCCTTTTTAAATTGTTGATATTAAAATGTTTAAATAACTAATATTATGATGCAGTGGTAGTGACTAAGAAAATATGATAAGATATGAGATTATTTAACGTGAAACAATTTATTAGTTAATTTTTAAAATTCTTTTTTTATTAATTTATTATTTTTTTTTGTTTTTCATCAATTTAGCGTTTTAGGTGTTTACATTTTTTTTTTTTAACATATACATGCTATTAGTTTCATATTTTAAAATGAAATAATGCGCTTAAAATACGCAAGAATATAGTTTATTATTATTTAAATTATTTTAAAGCTTACATAAAAGAATTAGGATGGCAATATATTTATTTAAGACACGTAAAATTTTTGTCTGGTTTAAAGTTTTGTTTTTTTAATAAATTGTTCATTATATTTTAAATTAATTAATTAATACTAAACCCTCAATTCGATATCAAACCGATTATCATAGTCATTATATTTTGTTGTATCAGATTTATGACATATTGTTATCTATTGACGTCAATAGTATGAGTCCTAATGTATATTTATACAATATTATTTTATTAGAATATGAGAAACTTAGAAATATTTATGACAGAATTTCATATTTTGCTTAATTAAAATCAATTTTCTTTATACGACTTACTTTTTACTTAAGTGATATCATAATATACTTACCTAAACATTACAGTTAAATGTTTTAGAAAAATTGAATTAAATTTAATAGTTAATAATTTTGGTAGTAATATTTATAAAATCAATTATTTTTTGTAATTATATGTATCATTAAAAATTATCGTATTAGTGGAACAGTATTGCAATTTAAGCCTATATAATATTATTGTTGATTCAGTTAACCCTGTTTAAACGGTTTCTACTGTAAATATTATGTATCACTATTATAATTTTATAGTGACTCTATTTACATTGTTTTCGAATAATCCCGATTGCCCTAATTCACTAACATAACTGTCTAAATTCATTGATCGAATAAGTCCTATACTACGGTTTTTATATGGCAAATAGCTATTGTATAAAGCTTCAATTAGTTTATACGTAATTAACTCATGTCCACTCGTGTATCCACAATGAACACACCATTCAACTCGTCTTTTGTGGTTACCCACTTAAACCATAAAAAGTATAATTATTGTACTTGTATTCATATTTAATTTTGATCTCGGAATTTAGTTACAAACGCGCGTTCGTGCAATGAAACCCGCAGATCGCGTTGATGATGAGGAATAATAGAAATGCCAATATTGGTATTTGTACATAATATTATATTATGTTATCTTTGGATATTCTAAGGAGGAGGGAATAATAATACAATAAAACAATGTACCAATGAGCAACGGTCACATAATCAGAGGTTATTGGGGTCTGACCATCGTTAGCCTTCTTAGCTGTTATAAATATGTACGGTATTACGGTAAATGTATACACTATATCTATGCATCATCGTGGCTTACGGACGAGAAAATGAGCTCACCGGCAAGCTTTTAAGTAACGATTGTTAGACGAGGGTGTTCAATTATAATAGAAAACACAATAGTTGGTATGTATACATGTATACTTTTTATGTAATATGCGAGGTAGATATAATATATAATAATATGTAGTATACGAGACGGAACAAATTAGAAAACATAATAGCCCTAAATAACTGAATGAAAGAAAGAAAAAGAACACTAATCACAAAAAGGATCACTACGCTGCAGATGTAACATAGCTTGAAATTATATAAATGAAAAAAAAAGTGAAACTAGTACAAGGGAGAATTAAAATTTGCTCTTTTGTAAAAAATACATTGTTTACAGATTTTCAAACGATAAATATATCAAATAATAAAATTGTTATCAATCATTAACTACACCCGTAATTTTATCATAAGCTATTTTATGCTTAACACTACAGTGCTATCATAAACAATATCATAACATCAATGGTAAAATTTTCTATACTAATTATAATATAATTTAATTATTTGGCTGTTTCACGAGAAAAACTAAAACCATTTACGATTGATTAAATGTGAGATATTATCAGTAGATATTCGGTCGTAGCGAACAATATATTATATAATTTAGTCTTTTGGGCAAATTAAGTAGGTAAATTCCAAGATCAAACTGACTGGCGCGTAAACTCACGTTTCTCACGTATATATCACTATGGATAAAAATATAAAAAAATTAACGTTTTTATAAGTACAATAATTAAATATTATATATCGTGCTTGCTCCTCTGCAATATGCATGCGCCATCTGTATATGCATTTTTATACGCGGGTCTTAACGGTAAAAAGTTCGAAAAATTTACATACATTTTACTCAGACATCTATTCAAAATATTTTATTGTTTTTAAGAAACAGATGTCAAATTGTTTTTATTATTGTAGTTTATTTCTAATATTAATTTAATATGTTTGACATATTTTATTAACTATTATTTGTTTTATATCTTATTTGAAATTCTATGGTTTATTCAATTACCTATCATGAAAATTCTTTGATGTAATGTTAAAATATTTTTTATATATATTATTGTATAATAATATGTAACAATAATAAAAATCGATAACAACACGATAACACGAATACTTGTATTTATATTTATTGGTAAGATGTATGTACATTTTTCTGAATGAAATTTATCGGACTCGTACTCCTCTAAATTTATATAAACAAGTATTGGTGAATATACTGCAGCAGCAGCGTTTTAATACCATCGTGGCATTTGATTTTCAGGGTCCCAAAGGAGAAAAAGGTTATAAAGGCGAACCTGTGAGTATATATATAATATTTTAATCTACTTTATACAATATAGGTTAGGTTACGGACAGGATCTGTTAACACAATTTTTTGTTGATATCAGCTTATTATATATTATGTTGTCAAGTAAAAAAATTACATTCGTTTTAGACATAATTAAAATCAAAAGATGGTATAAAATAATCAAAATATTAAGCCTAATTGTTTTTTTTTTAAAATTTATTCTATAATTTTTTAATATGCCTAATAACTTAAAGGTTTCCAGTTAATTTTTAAAACAAAACGTAAAACGCATGTACATGCATTTATCTATAACAGTAGCTAAAACTATTTAATTAATTATTTTTTGTATAACCGTACTGTAAATAAAGATTTTAAATAAAAATAAATTCTATGATTTTAAAATTGAATTGCTTAAACTACTACAGCAATAGTGAAATAACTTACATTAAATTATGCAGGAAACGATGTGTGACCCAAGTAATTAAAAAAAAGTAATTATATTTTTGTAGTTGAGGCAAGTCAATATTTTTATCCATCTTCACTTTTAACTTTTTGAGTTAATTATACTGTTAGTTAATTATTATCTTAATTTTTGTAAACGTTGATTTAACTTAGACTATAATATATATAACATACAGGAAATTTAAAAGTTATGATATTATGTTACTTGAGAACATCGGTAGAAACATAATTAAGCTTACAGAAAATATAAACTTTTATATAGTTAGTTAACATAATAACCCTCATTTGTTGACTTTACTCATTGTTGTGTTTTTGATAAGAATGATATCTATATTAAATATTATATAATATGTTTGCAAAAGGAGATGAAAAATGTAATTTTCAATTATTATTTTTGAGTTTTATTTTGAAAATGAATAATATATTTTTGGGAATGTTAATAAAATCAAGCTAATGTTTTATTATCTAAAACATTAAAATATCTAATGTTTAAACTTTTAGAGAAGCTGACAACTATTATTGTATAATATAATATAATATTAAAATTCGACGAGTGTAAAATTATGGATATTGTTCAGTGATAAAATTATATAATATATAACCAAATTTATTAAAATTTATAACCAAATAGCATTAGAAATAAATTTGTAAAATTATTTACTATGGTTAATAATATTATTGAGTAATGTTATTACCAATAATATTATATTGGCTTTCTGGCATTTTTATCAAGTATTGTAGGTATCTATATGTTTTAAGTTCAAATAACAATGCTATGAAAAAATGCATAAAAATATTGCATATAAACCGTTGAAGTATTAGATGTTTTTTGAAAAATCTAAATCCTGAATATCAGTTTCAAAAGAATGATATTATAATAATTAAAAGTAAAAGATACATACTCTAGCTAATAATAGTTGGACATCGTTTCTTACCTCTATCCCCTGATCGGATATGGTAGGTTTGTTAAGTTTGCTCAAGGATGATGATAATATTATAAATACTATAAAGTCCATAAAGATATCCAAATGGAATTATTATCAGAATAAAATATTCACGAGGAATCGTGGGCTTAGACGTCAACAATTTTAGCTGTGTTATTTTTCGGAAGTTATATATATACAGATCAGTTTTTCCGATATTTTTTTATATGGCAACTAATTATTAGACATTTCTTCTACTAACTGACCCATAAAAATAATATATAGTTGTGTTGTATTATATGTAATAGATTGTAGCGAAATATCATATAATTTAATTTTTTAATCGCGCATGCGTTCGTTTCAGGGTCCGATCGGTAAAAAAGGCCGTAAGGGCGACAGAGGTGACAAAGGTGATCAGGGAGTACCGGGACTAGACGCACCGTGCCCCATCGGACTGGATGGGTTGCCGCTGCCTGGATGCGGTTGGAGGCCACAAAAGGTACGTTTCACGTGAATTTGTCGATCGACATGACACTAACATCGTTTTCTTTTCTTTTTTTTTAACTCGAGTGTGTTTTTGCATGACGCACTCGTTCGCGTGCATACCTTTCTGATACTGATTATAATAATAACTTATCGATGTGCCTGATCATGGTCCAAAGGAGCCGACGACTACGACGAAATCGTACCGGTCGCAGACCACTGCAGAACCACCAGCCGACGATTATGACGAAAACGGCGGTGGCGGAGGCGGTAGTGACGAGGAAACTGGTGGTGATTATGGTGACGAGTACACCGACGAGACGAACAATTATGACCCAAACGTGAAATAATAACATAACTTGCGTTTGTTGTGTCAGAGGTGTGGATTGTATTGTTTTTAATAATATATTAACACAATTTATTGCCATTATATCATGACATTACCTAAATAGGTCGTGGTCGTATTTTGTCGTAGATTTGTACATTATCATAATTCAAAAACGGATAACAGACTTTCGTAGGGTTAATGACGTCAATGTAAATTTCAATTTAAGGTCAAAAATCAGATTTAAACAAGTTAATAAATTTTAAATATTTATTTTTTTTGTGTTTTAAACTCAAACTAGGTGGCAAACGATATATGAGCCTAGGTGCATTGAAATGAATTATTAGAATTATTATTCTCAGCAGTCAGCACTGCCATCAAATACACAGTTTTCAGAATAAAAAACGAAGGTTTTATTTAAATATTTTAAATAATCAACAAATTAGTTTGATAACACAATTTTAAAATGTATTATACGTAGTAAGAGTAATACCAGTCTAAAATAATTTGCTATATAATTATAAATTCTATCATAATTATTATTATTTAGTCAAATGGTATATCTTTCGACTAGATAATAGATAAAATTAATGGTTATTTAATTTCGTACACGGGATTTTTTATTATTTAGATTTTCAAATAGTTATGTACATTTTTTATACCGAAGTAAAAATTTTTATCGGTTAAAAGTTGTAATTTTCATTTGCTACATATTACTTATTTTTTTATTACATAGATAATAAACACAATATACGTAATATAAATTATGAAAAATACACTTACACAAATTCGTATAAATTTATGTATTGATTTAACCATATTCAAACTAACTAAAAAGTTTTACTAGTACGTGACATGGTATAACTGTCCTGCTATTCGTTTTTTTTTTTTTTTTGAGGTTATTATTTATTATTAAAATTTTGCTAATGCTTACTTACATTCAGTAATATTTAAAAGTTTCAAACAATGATGTTATAAAAAGTAAAAATCATAATTATTTTGTTAGAATATAATGCAATGGTGGAAGTAGTATAAGTTAAAAGTATGATATTATGCTCGATATAATATTTTTTTTACTCGAATAAGTTTTGTTATTGAATATATTATTTTATAAGGCTTTGTAATGTTCCCATATTGCCTATACATCACCCCGTCTTACAAATAATATTATTTCCAATAATATCACGATGGAAATAAAATGAAAACAATTTTTGGCCTGGCTTCTATCTATATAAAATCCATAGGACGTTTTTATTTTGCTAATTTTAATATGGCGATTTAATCTTCGTTACTATAATAAACATGATTCAAAAAATATGTCCACGATTTAATGATTTTAATGTATTTCCCCGCGGAAATCTATTATAACGTTTGAGGTAAAAATATAATTTTTTTTTTTTAAATCATACTTACAAGACAACTCACAAAAACTATTGTTAAAAAAGTTACATTATGATCCCTTATATAAATAATAAGGACTTTAATTTTGCTATACATAGTTAGTTTTAGACTAGTTTTAGCAACATTTTAAAATCAAATATAAAAATGTTTAACTCTTAAGTTAGTGCTCAGTTTTAGATTTTAATTACTGGTTGTCTGGCTATGTACTAAGTGTATTGTCAGTGGTTATTCATTATTCATTCATAGAGAGCTCGTTGAAATTGTCTTTACATTTTAAAATTATCATTTATCACATTATTTGAATTGATTTGAGTTGATTAATGACTTATTTTACAAGGAAGTTTATTATATTTTCAGAAGTTCAACGTCGACGACAACAAACTGCTTTAAACCAAAGTTTGGTGTACATATTTTTATAATGTTATTGATCACCATCGACTTACGACAGGATCATTGTGCACCGCAGTTATTACGTCATTATGTTAATTATATATTTTAAACTAAGTAAATGTAAATAAATTTTATATAAAAACATATTTCTGTTCAGATCAGCTCAGCTCAGTTGTTGTAATAGGAACCATGATTTATGCAAACGAATGGATTTATTATATTTTTATCGTGTTTGAGTACAATAATTATATTATAAATCAAAACCTTTTGTGTTATGTCCCTTTCCACTCAAAATCAACCCAGTTCCTCGATAGGTAACTTATAATACTGACGATCATTCATCGACATCTGTTTTTAATCTGTGCATACTATACTAAGGAATTTTAAACTATGTTAAAACAATAATAGTTTTGAGTAACATAATATTGAATTCTTGTTTTGGTATTCATTATTTGCTGTTTAAAACTTTTATTACAAAAATAATATAATTAACCGTAAAACCTACATTATATATTTTGTTACTGAATTATAATTTTAGCTTTCAGTCCTCAATACTTGGATATTTTGTTGTTCACTCCAATTATTAATTTATTACAAATATGTGTAATAACATTAAGACATAAGTATCTAAAATGTGAAATATATTTCATTTTTATATAATTAATTTGTAATTATGCATGAATTTAAAAATAGAAAATCAAGTTAAATTAGTAAAATAATTCTTATTTTAATCAAAATTGTGTTCATTTTATTAAATTAAGATAAAGAGTATGTGTAAATTGTTATTAAAAAGTATGGTATAGTATATATATATGTAAGAGAAAATGTAATTATACCTACTTTATTACAAGACAAATACTGTAATATTGCAAATAAATTATACATTTATACTAATAAAATAATTTAATATTAGAGTTGAGTTATCTCTTAATTTTATAATAAACTTCACGCATTTAGCAACTGATTTTAATATCTATAATAAAGTATAATGCTAAAAAATTAAGTAATTTAATAATTTTGTACACACATTTTATTTAATTAAATTTAATAAAAAAAAAAAAAAAAAATAAAATAAAATAAAAATATTTATAAAAACGTGACTTTGGAAAGTTATGTTAAATCAATGCTTGAGGTAAACAATTCCTAATCGATGGTACACAAATACAATTGAAGTGATAAGTAACTATAAAATTAATGTTTTTACTCATTTAATTTATACATTATTATTTTTACCTATGTCATGCAGATATAATACAATTTAAATACCTGAATTAAAAATAAAAATTATTTTTAAAATATTCATTAACAGTTTATTTTTTTATTGCAATATTTCTCCATATAACTTTACAGGTTGTGGAAAACTGATATTTATACAGACTTATTACAATAATATTTAAAATTAAAATTATTCAGTAATTCCCAAATTTGTATCTATATATTTTAGAATATTTATTTTCAATAGTATTGTGTTAATATGCAATATTCTTGTAGTCTATTTTTATTTATATAATTTACCAACATTTATTTTATTTATAGTTTTGGGATTACTTGATAAAACACATTTTTTATTGAATAAAAAAATAAAATTATGTCAGTAATAAAAAAAAGACATCAGTATTATGATTATGTAAATAACAATTTGTTTATTGTACTTACATAGTTGACACATTTTATACTTATTTTATACTTGCATATGTAAATATATGCTTTATACAGTTTTTGTAAGTAAACAGAAGTACACATTTATATAGAAAATTATGTAAAAAACAACAACAATTATCATTTTTTTCCTTCAACCATAATAATATGGTAACCAAATTTAGTTTTGACAGGCGGGTCGGTATAAACAGGATTGGCAAGACTTGATACAGGTAGAGCAAATGCAGCATCTTGAAATGGACCAACCATTGAGCCACGAATCATCCAGCCTAAATCACCCTGTAATTAATTAATACAATTAATAATTAAAAAGGCAATAATACAATAATTAATATAACAGATATTATGATAGATACTAAGATATTAGTCATCATCAGTAAATAAAATAGTAAAAATTAATTTTTAAGTACATTATGTCTAATTTTTAAACATATAAATATCAGTAAGTATAATAAAACTTAAACTCTTGGTTATAAAAATAATTGCTTATAAACAAGTAATTAAGTTGTCAATATTATGTTTACTTGTAACAATATATTAATATGTATTAATACAACTTTTTAAAATGGAAATGAGAAACATTTGTTAGTTATACTTCAAAGGAGATTCTTTAAAGATATTTTTTTATATTTATTAATATTTTAAATTTTCTTATGAAAAAATATTGTGCAAGCAATACTTATTTTGTATTCGTATTATAATTTATTAAGTCATTTTAATAATATTTGAGTTATTTGAAATTTAAACAAATAAAAGTTATCAAATTTTACAATATTATAAACTAAGTACTAAGTAGCTAAAATAATCTGACTGATGTTAAAAATTACAAATTGTAAGTATTGGTATATGAGTAAAATTATATTCGCCTATAATATGGCAATTAAAATATTATATTATATATGTATAACTTGAGCAATAATTACATCAAAATTATTAAATTAAATGCCTATTAATTTAAAAGAATTCTATGATTATAATATTAATAATATTATTTAAACATATTAAATTACATTTAATGTGGGCATATATAAAAATATTATTGATAATGTTTTTAAATAGGTATGTAAACAATATTAATATTTGAGAATATTATCATGATTAAGAATATTGTATCATTGATTATAAATTACTGTATAAACAGTTTGATAAAAAAAAAAAAAAATAAAATGTCTTAAGCTTATATTTTACTACAATTAAATTTATCAGACTTCTATAAATCATAAATTCACACATAATATGGTAATATAAATATTCATATAGGCTTGTATTTTTAAAATAAAAGCAACTAACAATTAAACTTTTTGTTCAATATATTATATATTAATTTTGTTGTTTATTATTAATCAGTGTAAAAATAGAATTTTATTAATAAATATTATCATACTAATACATGATTATTAACTTACTCCTTGTCTAGCTTTGTCTTCACTGTACAATGTAGCGATTTCATTAAATTTTGCACCCGCCTTAAGTTTTTCCATTGCTTCCAACACTTTTGACTGTTTTTCACACAAAATATGTCTCACCTGAAATAATAATTTACTGCATATTAAAAGATTAAGAATTTCTTAATTAAAATAATAATAACAAATCATTATTGTGCTTTCTTTTATTTTTATTTTTTAATGTTTATATTGTTTAAATTGTATGGCATAAATCATAAATACTTGGATACACTATCGGAAGTAATATTTTAGCTATGATTTCTATACTCAAATGTTAATCTGAATGAGAATAATGTTAGATATTGATGAATTGAAATAGTTATTGTTAAATAAAATACATAATTACAATCGTATACGAAGTAAACTGATTTATTAAACCTTTAACTTTGATGTATAACTGTATAAGTATTAAAATAAGCGTATTTGAATATTATAAAGCAATAAAGAAAACATAACATAACATTTATGACAACTTTTACCAAATCTAATTATTTACATTGTACTACAAGTCTACATTGTATCTACAATTTATTTGGCATAGCTTACTTTTACAGTTGATGAACCACCTCCTTTTTTCTCCTTTCCTTTGCCTTCATCGTCTGCTTTGGAGCTACTCTTGGGACCTTTGGTGTTGGCATTTTTCTTAGGTGGCATGACAATAATATATTTAAAATCAGTCTTTAAAGTGTAAATTGATTAATATTAATTTTTAGTTGTTATACCTAAATGGAAACATACAATTTTAGAACTATGCAAATAATAAAATTAAAAATTAACAAGTAACAGGTGCTGAATACTTACAATATAGTATTTCAAAATTGTATACAGAATAATGATATTTGTATTAAACAGAACTTTAGTGTAAGGTAATTTTTAAAAAACGTTCAAAACCTAAGCTCAGTAAACTTTACGGCTAAATATATTTGTTATCTTTCAAATTGATAACAAATTTAACAGTGTCGAGTATTCAGAATGTTAACCGTAAGATGCCGCTACAGTGTCATTTTCGATCAAAAATTGAATAAATTCATAATATAAAGGCCACCAAGGTATACATTGATTAATAATGATTATAGAATAGACTATTTTATAAGCAATTATATTAATAATTAATATGTTATCACCTTTACCAAATATTATGGTGTAGGTATGAAGTTATTTTATTATAACATAAACAATTTTGTTTCAAGAAGGAATTTTGTACCTTTAACAGCTTAAATCCTGTAGAATTATATTTCTATATCTAATATGTATGATACTGGACGGCTAAGAATGGAATTTAGAGAAAAACGTCACACGTACGGCTAGCAAAAGACGCGTTCTACGAGATAGAATAAAGAGCGTAACGGAAAAAAGATCTCAAAAGGCCAGAAAAACGGGCGAAAATCGGAAAAACTGTAAAAAGAGTAATAATAGTTATAATAACGACCAATAGGTGATAACAAAACTATCCACTCATGACTTATCAATATTTAATCGGCAAATTCGGTATCCTCAGAATTTTAATGGTATTTTTATTATTTTCAAGAAATATTTGTGTATATATTTTATCATTAAGATATAATATACAATAATTTATGTAGATGAATACATCAGAACCCTCTAATAACGACAATAAATATAAGATTTACAGTTTCATAACATCATATTATTAATAATTAATTAAATTAGGTACCAAATAGTAATTATATAATTATTATGTAAAAAAATAATATAGTTGTTAATAAATAATAGAGCGCGTGACATATCAAATGTGGGATATTATTGGTACCTACCTACTTTTATAAGAGACCATGATTATCTTTATTGAATTTTTGTAATAAGTTTTGTACAATAATTTGTGTTATAACTTAAAAGGATTAATTATGTTTCAACAGTATTAAACTGAATTGCCAGCAAAGATGTCGTGTAAAATATTTTTCGATAAAACTGCATTGTATTTTGAAGGTTTTTTTAACCTTATTGAGCACACAAATAAATTTACCCGTAATAGCGGTTTAGTGTGTAGGGTTTTAGTAATTCAGTGAAAACATCAATAAAATGTATTATATATTTTTTTAAGATGGCAATTATCCTGCTGCTAAAAATTTACAACACTATAGCTAGCTGATTAGGTAAGCACACTACAAACAATAGATTTTAAAAAAAAATTGCCTAGCTACGTATACAAATATAACTATATATATATATACACAATTAAATATAGGTACGCATTTTAAAACCACAAACAAATTTTTCAACAGAACATAAAACCAAAAATTTTAAATTTTAACATGCCAATGACAAATACACGAAAAACCGCCAACACGTTTTTCACACGGTGTATCGAGGAGTTTTGTGAAAACGATATATCAGCGATCCGTACAGAACCGACGTCGCCGCACCAACGACAAGCACGCTCGAGACTCTGGGCCGGCGCGTCCCCAGAAAACCAAACGGAAGACGACCAGGCCTGTGCCAACCCGTGCCGCCGGGACGACGGACCGGTCGACTGCAAGACGTTGAGCGTTCGACGACGGCTGGCCGAGGACCTCGGCTGCTGTGGCTGCACCGATAAGCCCGAAACTCCTTGTCTGGTCACCGAGGACACGAGCGCGTGTTGCGTGCAGTGTCGTCCCGCCACGCCGAACAGTCGTCGTCCCGAACCCGACGCAGCTGTCGTTGATCCGGTCGATCAGATAATCAACGAGGGGCTGCAACAACAGCCGAAGAAGCGGCACAGCCGGCGACGGTCGTCCTGCAGCGGCAGCCGGCCCCGGAGATCCGGTGGCCTAGAACGACACGGCGGACGACCGTTGGAGGCCGACCATCGCGGCGGCGGTTACCAACGACTATTTCGACGACCAGGCGGACATGAAAAGCTGGCAGGAGCACCGGGAGCGCAGCAGCGCTGCGACTCGACAACGGCCGTTGTCACCGCCCCGAGCCCAGGAGTTTGGCGTTCGAACCCGTACGTGGACAGCAGGTATTTGCCGGCCCCATCGGCTGGCGCCAGCCGCTACACTAAGTCACGCGCCGTCGCAAGACGGAACCGGATTCTGGTCGGCAGGAAATGCTGCTGAGTGAAAGGCTGGTACGAGCAGCAGGCGCAGCTGTTGCAGAGCATTGAGAGGAACGGAAAGTCATCGAGATGGTGCTCGAACACAAGCGACAGAACGAGTCTGCCCCGGTGACGCCGCGACCGCCGAGCCGCGCGACGACCGGCAAAGGATTCAGCGGAGATCGACGAAGGCGAGAAAAAAGACCGCCGAGTTACGGCGACGCTTTCAACGGCCGGACGGGCAGCAACAGTGCTCGCCGACCCGACGCCGGACGCCTTCTCCGACCGGAAACCCGACGACGCCCCGAGACGAGACGTCGGTGGGCGCCGTCGCGGCGGAAACTTCGACGCCCTGCCAGCGGCGTAGACTGCGTTACCAGCCTCCGTCGCCCGACACCGAAACCGAGGACGAGTGCCGCGCGCCGCCGCCGCGACGACGGTTGTTGAAGTACCGTCCGCCGTCCGACAGCGGCAGCAGCAGCGAAGATTGCGGCGGAAACGCGGCAGACGAATGTGGAGGCAGATCACACGTCGCCGCCACCGCCGCAGAGGACCGACAGTCGTCGCTCCAAGACTCGCTCACGTACTACAACCGCTCGGTTCGTAACGGCGTGCCTCCCTTGACCGCGAACGTTTCGCACCAGACCAGCATCAGCAGTCCGTGGTCGAACTGGTGAATACTCGCCGTTTCTTATTACACATATGTATAACTATACATACATATAGTATATTATACTTTATATATGATACATGAGTGTATTATATGATATGAGTTAATATTTTATACATATACATAATATATACGATATACCGCAATGTTATTGTGTACGTCTACCCATAATAATATTTTTATAAATCATATAATCGGAACGTGTAAATTGCCTTGAATCGGATCCCCACACGACTAGCAGAAATACGTTCGTGTTCCGTATAACTCAGTGTAATCAGTGCAACAGATTTCATTGATAATATTAAATGCACCACATATTAGTGCGTACCACGGATGACGTATTGACTAAGGTAATTATTTACTCGCATTTATGGCAGGTTTGCTAAAATATATGCAACCACAGATCATTACAAGTGTAGCTGTTTAACGTTCAGGAAGTGTGTGTTTTGTTTCGTTTTTAAAGTTAAATCCCATTTGATTATTAATTTTATTGAAATGACACAATTTGTCGTGCAACTAACAGATGTAAATATTAGTGGCAACTTACAAGTTTATTTGTAAGGGTGGAGAGTGACAGGGATGGATCCAAAAAATTTTCATAGAGGGGAACGCATAGACAGCAAAAAAAAAAAAAAAGTTCGTCAGATAAAAAAAGCATAGAAAGAGCAAAAAATAGATCAAAATAATTTTAGTCGACGATTTTGAAGACTGCACCCCTTGCGATTTTTTTTCTGAGATCGTCCCTGATCGCACTATTTACGTACTTACCTAATTTTTGCCACTAGGTCAATAATAATTGTATGAATCTGCATAATGTGTTATAGCTGTATTGGTACTACAGGTATGTTATACATTTTATCATGTTATCTAAGAAAAACAATTACCAGTTTCGATAAACTAATAATTGTATGATAATTAAAGATGTACTGTTTTAGGTTTAATAAACTATAAGAAATACTTCGATCTCTGATCTCATTATATTGATCGCATAGGTATTTTACGTAGTTATAAACATTGTTTATTATTATACATACAGAACCAAATTAATTATTGCGTGCAATAGGCATAAGAGGCACATTTTTTAAATGTATCAAATTATTTTGTCTTTAAAGTATATATCAATCACTAATCAAAGCATAATAGATTTTTTCTTTTGCAGTTATATTTAATAATAATAATAATAATAACAATAATTTGATTAGGTAGGTAACATCACTATGATTATGACGTTGTGGCGTCTTATGCGCACATTAAATACAATAAAATGTTATTAAGCTTTTAAAAACCAAAATTTACAATTATTGTTTTATGAGTTTATTGTTCTATCATATTTGGCTGTACAAAAATACTAAACAGAGACTTCTTTAATCTTTTACTCTAAAAATTAATATAAACTTAATGATGATAATTAATATTTCAAAATTATTTTTAATTCTTATAGACAAATAATTAGTTTTTTTTTTTTAATCTCAATTTATTTCTTGTACTATTAATAACCACTAGAAGACCCACTAGTAATCTGGTATGTTTATATAGCATTGCCACTGTTTTAGGTGAGAATTGACGTACCAATCTATGTTATATTGTTATGTTTAAAAAAAATGAATCCATATAGATGTGCCCATATGTGGACACAGTGGCTCCACAAAAAAAAAATAGGATACTGGAATATAGGGTGCATCTAAGATAAATAAATAACTTGTCGTTTTTAAAATAACAATTATCTACTATAGTACGATTACTGCGTTACCACAGTACTTACCTACTCTATAGAATTATTTCACTCACAAAACAGGTAAAAACAACAACCATCTTAAAGAAAAAACATAACCAGTATGACCTGTAGGTATAATGTTCAGTAAAACTGTCGAATAAGCTATTGAAGTGGAAGTTTCTAGAAACTACAATATACTTGCATATTTCAGCAGCCTCATTTACATAAATCGGAACATTTACCAAAAAAATACAATTTAAACATTTGTGGAAAAGTAACTTTCATAAGAAATACGGACATGACTACTGCGGTTAACGTACCCTTATAATGTATTCAGTGATTCATATTAAAGTAGTCGTTAGATACACAGTCAGGAACAGAATATTATAA